CTATTATCATTATTATTATTATGTGTGAGTGTATGCACTTAGTTGTCTGTGTGTATGTATGTGAATGTGTGTCTCACACACACACAAACACACATACACACAAACACACAAACACACACACACACAAACACACACACACACAAACACACACACAAACACACACACACACACACACACACACACACACACACACAAGTACATGCAAATAAACACACTCACTTGCACATGCGTACACACACATACAATTTTTTAAATATTATATGTGGGTGTACGCATGTGATTGTGTGAGTGGGTGTGTGTACGTGGGTGTGTGTGTGAATATGTGTTTGTGTATGCATGTATATGTGTGGGTACATGTGTGTGGATGTCTGTGTGTGTAAGGAAAGGGATGATCAATTACAGCAGAGCACAAGAAATGATAAATATATATTACAGTATGTGTTTGTTTGTGTAATATGCATGAGTGTGCCCACAGAGTTTTTTCAATAGAAAGGCAAAAAAACACATCAAGTAGCGGTGTTCTTCATAAATATTGTATTCCAAACGTTTTTGTAGATTCAAAATATATTTCATCAGAGTGTAAAATTAAACTAGTCCTTACAGCAGGGATACAAAAAACAATATCATAACAAGCACTTGAAATCATAGAATTTCCTGAACAAAGGAATACAAACACTAGATATCTATCACAGTTTTGTGGAGACATTTTGTTAAATCGAAAGCCATATTCTTCACAATCATATTTTTCAGCTAAATGCATCATAAACCTGATGCTGTCGAATACATAGACTTAAGTATCTAACCTGAATACAACAATAGAGTGCGAGTGAAATTTGTGAGCCAGTTATTATTAGAAAGGTGGTCAGGTGGTTTAGTGGCACTGGGAAAAATATTGTGAGAGTTCTCCCAATATCTTAAAATGTCTTTTTTATGACTTTGTGACTACAATGTTAGCATTCTTTCCATGTTTTTTTTAATTGGCCTAACTTATCATTCTGTCTATCATTCTTACCCTGTGTGCACACATTCAAAAGAAAACAAATTCATAGTGAGCTAAAAATGTAAAGAAGAAGCCATTGAAGATCAAAGTACACTGTTCTTACGACTTCAGCCTTTGACTCAATGGCTATTGCAGATAAAGCCTGTACCAATGGCAAACTCCTTCATTACCAATATTCTTAATTAATAGAGCATCATACTGCATAAGGTGAGGGCACCAAAAAAAATGATAGAAGATTTGGAACAAGATAAGAATAGTAGTTCCGCATCACAAAAATTTGTTAACATAGTCAAGTAACAAAGATACCAAAATGCAAGATTTATAACAGAAGGTTGTTTGTATATATGTGAGTTTACGAAAAAGAACATTGGCAACAACTGTGGATAGACTGAACAAAAAAAAACAAGCGCACAAAAAGAAGAAACAGAGGGCCTACTAGGCCATCCAGACAACTACATGAGAGGGAAAGTAAGACTAAAAAAAGGTATCCGCCCAGTGTCTAAAAGTAAAAGGCAGAGAGTGTGTTCAAAAAGAAAAACCTCATTCCAAAGTTAGAAAGAACATTCCAAAGCTAAAGCAAAGGGTAATTGTTTATATCAATATCACATTTGATTGTTTTGATCACATTCTGCTCTTCTCAAGACTTCTCACCCATTGTCCCACCCTCAGCCCATTCTCTACCAAATCCCAATCTTTTCAGAACACACCTTTCTTTTGCCCTTCCTAACCTTACGACCTGTGCACAATATTGGGATGAATTTTTCACAAAGAAAGAAGGAGGTTATTTAACTAAAAGAAAAGAAAAACTTGCAACTATTTCCCATAATAGCCAAAGCTATTTACCACAGAAGTGATGTACGACTTTGAAAAAAAATTATTTCTTAACACTGATCTTTTACGCAAGGAAAATTGTTCTCAGCAAAATAAGAAACCTAGATTACATCCAGTAAGAAGACAATACGGGGAGAAGCAAACAGATAACATGGATTCATTTGTTGTAGCCTCTTGTTATAACTAATAACTAAATACAAAGGAGCACAGCAGGCATGACAGCTTGAATGACTGATCTCAAAATTTGTTTTATGAAATAGCTTTTGAAATGGCTTTCAAGTTTTTACTTAGTAAGGACTAGTTTTAGCTCTTTTTTTGTGTTTCTGTTCAAGCAAATCATGCTGCTATGTTCCCATTATGTAGGCAACGTGGCCACTCACATAAGTCTCTCTCTCTCTCTCTCTCATACACACACACACCTATACACACACATACTCATTTACAAACAAATAATCATACATTCATGCCATCGAAAACAACTGAAAGAATGAAACCATGAATCTGTTGCTTTCTATCCCTTTGAAGTGGGAAAGAATCTTTTCATAAAATCCTTCCATTTGGGTGCACATTATTTTCTTTGGTATACAAAGTACATGTACTTTAAGAAATTACTCGTCTCAGTAAAACTGAGTAATATTGATGTTGGCTTTCATAATTATAAAAACAATAGCATTAAAAAATAGGGCATTTTCGATAGAATAAGAAAATGGACACCAAACCTACTTTTTTTGGAAATTCCAGTAAAAACTATGACACAATGTCAAAACATTTCTTTCATTCTGTGGCCCTTCTGAATTTTCATTAAAATCCCTGTCCAAGAATCTGATGCTGAAAATCACAATATGATAAAATAACTAATATTCATTCAATCCTGGAAAAGATGTTGACAGCTCAAACTTTCGGGGCGTACTGCTCCACTCGCTCCAACAAAGCATCAGAATAGCCAGGGGAGTAGTATCTGAAAGAAAACAGACAAAATAAAATTAATTAGTTTTGTAAGTTATTGGAATAACACTCTATCAGGGAACTGTCTTGCAGCTTATACATTTATCAAGCACCTTATACAAAATTAGTATGGGAGTTTGTGAGAGCACGCACATTTGAAGAAGAACAAAGAAATACAAGCATGCGCACACACACACACACAACACACACACACACACACAAACACACAAACACGCACACACACACACACACAAACACACACACACACACATACACCAATACATATGCACATTCACAAAAAGAGTTGCATATAAGTACATACAATCTTGTATTTGTTCACAATCTATCTTTTAGCCTTTGCTACCCAGTTCAATTGTTTCTCATTCAAGAAATCATTAGTCAATAGTGTTTATTCGTGGCTTTAAAAAAAGTTATAAACATTTCTATATTTTAAAGCTTAGTTTCATTTAAAATTTGATAAGAAAGACACCAGATTTTATTAAATATCATTTGTACACATAACATAACAATATCAAAAGCACAACGAGACAAAAGCTCTTAGGACATAAGTTTTAGGCTAATGATCTCAAAGCTCAGGCCAAAATCTTGAAGAACTTCTATCATTAGAATGCAAGCCAACAAAAAACTGACCAAAAGTTGACTGGAGAGACGAGGTGAAAGCTTGAACAGCTAACACTATACAGGAAAGGAGCAAAGCCCTGAAGCAACAAAAAAAGATCAGAACAAAACATTATGCAACACAAATGAAAGAAGGGTGGCCAGAGAGGAAGTATCCATAGCATGTGTACTCACTTGACAATTTCTTCTGGATAGCAATTGTTGATTGTGTTGATGTATTCTGCGAGTGCTGAGCCAGGTTCTGCCTTGATCTCTTGAATCTTCTTCAAGCCGCCACTCGTAACAAACAATCTGCGTGCTTTTGAGTCGTGTGGGAGCACTTTGCTGAACTGTCCGACCACGTGCTTGAGGATATTGGGTGGAGCATCGTGCAGAAGGGGTTCCAGGGCTGGTAGGTGAACACATTTCTGCAGGATGTTTTTGAGTGCTTTTTTGCTCTGTGGAGGCAAACAGGAAAATAAGAGCATATCATAAAGATTCAACTTCACAAAGTCCATTGGTTCAAAATAGAGTTATTTTAGATCAAGAAAAGCATACTGACAAAGTTGCTTTGACTGAGTCGGAGATGGAAAAAAAAGTGATGGATACGTAGAGGAATTAAAAAGAAATATCAGTGGCATTCTCAAACAAGGTAACTAAATGCAACAAACTTTTTTTCAGGATATGCTTATATGTTTACACTCATAAAAAATAAAAAGACATTTGGTAGGTAACCAGTACACGTGCATAATAATTTCATGATCAATGACAGTATCCCTATCTTCCTCTATCGAAGTTTCCGGGTAACATACAGAGACGTGCACACATAGTAAACATGCACACAGTGAAACACATACATAACAAATAGATTTTCAGGTCCCGATTTATTTTTTTCATGTATATTCTTTATATTTAAAACATGTACAAAGAGAAATTTGTATACAACAGAAAGATTATCACATCCCTCTGATTTCACTATGTACGTGTTTGACTGTACTTACCTTTGTCTGGAGATCTTCAGAAACATCTGCCCGGAGGTAACATTGCAGCAACTTTGGAAGAACATTCGCCACAGCGACCGCCTTTGCATGCTCGGGAGTGTGTCTGCCAATCTGTCCAAGTGCCCAAGCAGCAGCTGCCTGGATGTGATCTTCATGCTCTTCTGACAGTGCAATGGCCAGCTGCACCACACCCTGAGCAAGAAAAAAAAAACCATACAAAGTTGAATTACTATTAGAATGGTCTGCCATAAGTTCATACAAACTGAACAGAGACTTTAATTAATCAAACTTGAGAAATACCAAGTATTCTCTAAAGATTACTAACACAACACGAGCTTTAAGTAACCCATGATCAACAGACAACTGTAGTCTTTTGGATTCTGTAATATGTTTTTTGTGGTTTTTTCGCAAACAACAGACTTCAAAAATACAGACCAAACAAAATCAACAGCAGTAATCAAAGAAACAGTTAGAACCATTAAAGACCACTTCGACCGTTCATGTCACGCGCAAGAAGAAAAAGAACAAAGGAGTAAGTATGAATAGATATAAAAAATAAATATAGTTTCTATTGGTACATACCTTTGATACAATCACTGCCATTGCTAGATTTTCTGAATGTGCGGCAACATAACCCAACATCATGATTCCAGGAAGCCTGACATTGCCCTTTGATTCACCAACATAGTCCACAACAGCTGCAACTCCTCCTGCATTCACGATCAACTGGGCGAGCTGAAAAATAACAACGGATTGTTAAGGCATCATTTGGAGAAAAAAAAGGAAAGAAAAGGAAAAAAAAAAACAAGGAATAAGAATCACACAACTCCTAGATCAGAAACCTTCAAATTCTCTTAAAAATTTGAAGTGTCTGTCATAATAAGTAATTACGATATAATATGCAAAAACCTGATAAAAAGTAAACTTAACAGTTTACCATCTAACAGAACCTATTTAACAAAAATAAAGCCTCCTAATTTAAAACAATATACATGTCTCCAACTGGTATCAACTAAAGAGTATTAACAGTGACTGTACGGTAAAGGGCGCTCACCTCAGGAGTGTGTTTTGCAATTTCTCGAATGAGAGTAGCCACATTTTTCTTGACATACTCATCAGGGTCTTTCAAGCATGTCAGTACAGCAGGGAAGATTTCAGCCTCCACCACCATCTCTGCCAGATCCACAGAGTGCTTAGCAATCTGGCTGAGAGCTGAGAACACTTGTCGCTGATGGCAGAAACAGGAAGCAGATGAATTTAGAAATATATTCAGACAAATTTTTTTTTAAATGTTATAAAGTATTCAATATAATAACATTTATATCTTTGATGCACTTTTCCCCTCCAGAGTCCACCCCCTCCCCCCACCCGATGTTCTTTTCCTTCCTTGCACCCTTACACATAAAAAAAACACAAAAAACTATTGATACTCCAGTTGTAATGTACACTTTCTGTATGTACATGCGCGCACACTCACACACTACAAACACATTCACATACACACACACAGACACACACAAACACACACCACAAACACAAACACACACTCAGACTTAATCAACTTTCATTTGTTTAAATTTAAGCAACGTTATGGTCTTTGCCAACCTAGACTCGATGCTTACCTTCAGTTTTGCATCTGGATTGAGGATCATCTGAGCCAAGTGTGCAATGGCACCAGCATCAACAACAGTCTGGGCCAGTTCAGGAGAGTGCTTGCAAATGTCACTCAAGGCTGACGCAGCAATGCGCTTGAGAGACATCTCTGGCTCTTGAATGCAAAGCACCAACAAAGGAACAGCCCCGGCATCCACTACAGCCTGTGCCAATTCTGAAATTGAGTAAACAAAACATTGAATGATTCCTGTGTTCTCACCCGTTGTCAATTTAAAAAAAAAAAAAATCTAGTAACAGGTACATAATATTCTGTCTGTAGTCTGAAACAGAAAATGGTAAAAGCAGAGTACGTATCCAATAGTTATTTAAACATATCTTTCGTCAGGTAATAAAAAAGACTAAAAGCGGTATATAAATCTCTCAAAAGTAACTAGTATGGCTGCAAAGTACAAGACCACTTTTATTCTAGCAAATATCATTTCTAGCACATTGTCAGCACAGTGAAGACGATGTTATAAGACAATGTATTTCATCTTCATCTTGACAGTAATGTTCACAAAGCAGGTGTGTACATATGGGCAATGCACAGTCTTGGCATCTTGTCCTTGCAAGACTGATACTTTTTGTCAAAGTCAAAACAAAACATCAGCTGAAAAAAGCTTGTTTTTGATAGCAATTACCAGTCAGGAATCTCTCTATATTGCAAGCTATTCCTTCTTTTACCTCCTACCCTACATTGATTGCTCTCATTTTACCCATCATTTTTGTAGTGTTTCAGTACCACGAACAACACATTCATTCAAAGTTACTAGATTTGTAAAAGTACCGAAACTGCCATTCAATTGCTGATAATATCCCTGTACTATGTACTTGGGTGAGAAAAAAAGGTTTTGTGTATGACTATATACGTATGTGGAGACATGAGAGAAATAATCATCTTCAACAAGTCTGAAATTAGTCTTTATAAATACGCAAATATGCCTACCTGCATTGTGTCTAGCAATGTATCCCAATGCCCATGCAGCAGATTCCTTCACTCCTGGGTCAAACTCCTCAAGACAGATCACCAACGCATCAAGAGCCCCACAGTCTACCACGGACTGAGCCAGTTGAGGGGAGTGCTTGGCCACAGCACGGAGAACGAAGGCAGCCGCTTTCTTGTAGAATCTCTGAGGACAAAAATATTATAGGACTACATGCAATGTCAAAAAACGCAATTTCATGATGATAGTGAGACAAAGATAAATGAATAAAAAATTGGTTCAAAAGTTTCAGGCATGTTGCTCTCAATTTTGACCATAAGTGTTCATTGTTAGTTAGACCATATCATATTTCTTTATCACTTTACACACTTCAAATTAAATTTGAATGGTGACACTTTGGGAGTTTCAAAACATGGGGGAGGGAGAGGGAGGGAGAGGAAGGGAGTGGGAGGGGCGGAAGGGGTATACTTAATCCATCAAAGACAAGTTTTCAATGTTTACACAGGAGGCTATAAAATATACTAGCGAGCAAAAGAAACGCAAAAAAAAAAAACAATCTTGGCCATAACTAAAATAACCATCTATAGTAGAAGACTGAAGTTTACACCTTCGATAGTATGTCATAGCCTCTTTGGAAATCAAAAGTCAGCCGTCTTGTTTGTCACTGGCAACTAGAGTTATTGCTCCTTAATTGAAGCATGGAAAAAGTCACGTGGTGCCTCCGAAACACGGTCTAAATAAGTGAAGAAAGGGAGAAAAATATTCACCTGAGCTCGGCTATAAAAGCCGGGGCGAAAAATCGTTTCGGTCGTTTCGCCTGCATTTGCAACGAAAATGCCACGTTTTAGGGCTATGCAGCAAGAAAGAGGAATAGGTTGTTTGGAGGGTGGAGAAAGGCCAATTGTAGTCGCCAATCATTTTGGTGCTCACATCTAGACTATCCACAGACCGATAAGCCGTTTTTTCAGCTCACGAATTCTACGGCGGCTCGAAAAAGGTCAGGCCGACCCAGAGTGACCAATGAACGTGCATGTAAACACATTGTTTAGATGTATCGTTTAAATCGACTTCAGACAACTACAAGAACATCAGATTTGATAAGGGGTACCCATAGAAGAGCCAGAATTCGACACACAGTGAACTGACGATTGCAAGAGATAGGCTGTAGATGCCGTCGACCTTACCATGGTACAGTCTTGACTGCACAACATCAACAAGAGCATCTCAACTGGGCCTAGCACCATGTCAACAGCCGTCTGAGAGACTGATCCTCGGTTCTTATTTTTGGACAAATGCCTGTTCTCCATAGAAACAACAAACAGGGGCCTCATAGTTTATCAAGATGGAGACGAACGTCATCGTGACAGCTGTTTCATAAAAAAGAATCACTGGGGAGGATATCACGTCATGATCTTGGGTAGATTCATGAGGAACCACAGAGTAGGACCAATGATCTTCCAAAATCAAGGCCAAGGTCGAGGTCATGGTATCAATGCTGCCCGCTGCATAGCAGGAGTTCTTAGGCCCCTCAACCCACGCAAAATTTTAAATTCCGGTTCCAGCAAAATAAATTAAAAGCTTGTGCGCACTCTTCCTGTGTTACACAGGATTTCCTCCAACACCATGGCATCACTCTGCAGCCTCACCTTGCCCTTAGCATGGATTTAAACCCAATTAAGAATTTTTGGGAAGAATTAAACGACGACTCAAGGGAAGACAACCAAAGCTGAGAATCACGCAGGAACTGGATGTGGTCATCTAGAAGATATGGAAGCAGATCCCCCAACGTTTTACTAACAACCAAGTGGCTTCCTTGTACAGGAGATGCACTGCAGTTATCTGATCTAAAGGTAGCTATAACCACTACTGAGCATTTTGAAGCATTAACCGGAAGTTGAAAATGTATTCCGTTAAAATTTAATATTCACATTGATGCCCCGCGTACCCTTTCATAATGCCAGAAAACAGTTTGTGTTTAAATTCCTGCGTTTTTAAAAAAATGGAAAACGAAGATGATCACAATTGCAAAGGTAAACAGGATTTTGCTTTTCTTTTGCTCACTAGTATATATGGATATAAAGAGAAGGAAGTATACTGTTGAAAAAAACTTACATTTTGTTCTGCCAGTGAGTAAACTAGCTGTGGCAAGATATCACCACGGACAACGGCCTCAGCAAGATCATCATTGTAGTTTGCCAGCCTTCCAAGTGCTAGGGCTGCAGTCTGCTGGATTGTTGGCACAATATCCAGAAGAAGCGGCCGCAAGAGAGACATGACACCTGCATTTTGAAGTGTTTCAATGTTCTGTGGCCTTGATGCTAGCTCTGCCACTGTCTGGACAAACTGTGTCCGAGACTTTTGATACTGCTCAAAAACTGAAAAGGAGAAAGAAATTAATTCAGGTTCACTGTAGAGAAGTGGAACTGTACAAGTGCACGATTCATTTAACTCCTTTTTCAGTGACATATTACACATATGAAAATGAAACAAAAACAGATGTTTGGCAGTTGTTGATTCCTTTCAAATGCGTTACAGTCAAACCTGTCCACTGTCCAAGAAAGAATCACAAGGAAGAAAGAAAAAAATTCCTTCTCAGACATATACATTTTGAGGCATCAAGGTGAATTCAGGCACTCGGCAAAATAAAGAAATCGAAGAAATCAGCATTTTTCGACAAGTTTGCTAATCTTTATTGAATTTTTGTATTTTGGCTCAACACTTTTTACGTTCATTCAAAAACACATATTACTATGTGTGAATTTTGCTAAAAACCATCCTGACCATCATTCATGTCAAGATTTCAAGTTTTTTGGCTTGGCTTGTCATCAGTGTTTCATTGATATTTCATCTTCTACTAAGTTTTGAATACAGAGAATGACATCCCTTGAAAGGTTATCGTTTTAGTTATGAGATCATATCTATATTTTAGACTATTGGACAGACTGGGCAGGTTCTACAACACAAAAACAAAAGGAGGAGTGTTGTTTTTCTTACACACATCGTGTGAGACCCAACGTGTTGACTCGGAATGCATGTCTCAGTTCTTTACACTTGTTTACATCGTAACAGTTTGTTCTGCCCGAGTCTTGGCTATGGATAAAACCATTTCTATATTTGTCTTTCTACTGATATGTAGTTTGATGAGAAGCTCGAGCTTTGTAACCGAAAGTTGTCTTTCTCACACACATCGAGCAAGACAGCCAAGGCATAGAGTCAGAGCGCTTGTTCAGTATTAGTTCTTTTTAAATTTATTTACATTGTTATGACGGTTCTATGCAGGTCTTGTCAGTGGATGACCTCATCTCATCATTTATCTTTCTACTGGTATAAGTTTTACTGATCTGTCTCTTATAATAAGCGAACAATCGTTGATTAACTCTTGTCCTGCGTCTGTGCTGAGATGCGAATCTTATCAGCAACTGATTACGTCGGACGTTCCGGGCAGGCCGCCGGAGTCACTCAGTGTGTACTGTTGGTGTACAGCGCGGGTGCCGGGAAACGTGTGTTTTCGCCATCAATACCGTGGGAGTGTGTTAATCGATGATGAAAATAATACTCTATCTTTCATAGCTTTCTATTTATAAAGTATTACAAACACATGAATAACCCCCTCTCACAAGCTGATAAGACATTACGAGTAGTTACGCCCATTTGAATAGGCTTTCTAGATGCTCTTGTTGTTATGAATGACCTGAGGTTCGAAAGGGGATGTATTGCACTCAAATTGTTCTTTGTACCAGAACATGGTATTCAAAACTATCAAACAAGCTTATTTCTTATCAGGTAGTATCATTTCGTACAAAATCAAGCTCATTTGAAAGGTTTTGTATAGAAAAATGGAAGTCTTGTTTCCTGACTATCCTTTCAAGCTCCTCATGTCTAAGAGGTTCAATTTCTTCTATAATTTCATTGGATGAACATCTAGAGCTACCAACTTGGCGTGCTTTGAATGAGACGTATGCCTCGATTACGAACCAAAGCAGGCGGTTTTAGAAGAAGGCCACAAATGCACACAAACTCAAGAAGACTGACGCACACACACTTGACCTGCGTGAATGGGAATCCGATTCGGGACCCGAATTTCACATAAGATGATGAGCGGTGCGCGTGTGCTGAGCCAGGGGCTAGACTGACTTGGGACCAGAACGAACGCGAGGTGCCGAAATAGGCTTATCGGGAGACATAAACCCGGCCTCCACAGGACGAGCGCTAAAGATTGTGATCTACAGCGTCTTGCACAAGGTAGAAATTTCCTCAGCATGTCGGGTGTACAAATGGTTAGCAGCCATGAGAGGTTAAACAGTAATCATGACTGTTTATATTTATCAGAGCTATGCAAAAATAGAATTTAAAAACCTCAGGGGAAAATACATAACAAACACATACATATATTGAATATATGAATGTGCGCGTGCACACGCACACACATACAAACACACACACATCCACACCCACACAGACACATACATACACACATGAACAGGTACACACAAACGTAAAGAAAAATTACAAGATGATATCACATTCCTGGAAGCATGAATATATAGGCCTATATAAAACCATCGACCAGCTATAAAAAGAGATCTGACTCATCAGCTCGTCTGTCAACATGTTTTTTTCCTGAAGGACTGTCAAAAAACTATTTGAATAGCCATGGTCATGATGGAGATAACAAGATATATAAATTAATTCTCATCCTGTGGTAGGCCTCTTTCTGTAGGCCTAACTAGTAAGGCAAGTCGTTGCTAAGACAAAAAATACCAGTTTACACCGTTCTGCCCAGCAAATGTTTATTAGAAGAGATCACTGTGCAAAATTAGCTGAAAGTTCGTCCCGAAAGTTCAGTATTGTAAACACGAATTTCCACTGTTAGTGCTTGACTTTATGAGAGCCTTCCAGTTTAGTCTGGCAGCCTTGAGCCTATGACTTACTAAAACTAGATCTAGATATCTAGCCTTACCAGTGCGAGTGGTTAGCCGACCAACAATTTAATTGCTGGGGCACGTCTTCATTTTCATTCCTGGTTCCTCACTCTGCAAAAGAACAAATATTAACAAACCTTGTAGAACTTGTCTGCTCATGATGTCGGTTTGTGAAAACCACACCTCAAATTGTGTGACGATATGTGTCTGCTTCGCCTGGTTTACTGTTGATCCTCCACAGCCGAACGCCTTGGTGTTCGTTGCTAAGCGCAAATAGCAACAGCGACCAAATGTAGTTTCGCAGTAAAAGCGGCCCGGTTCCGTGCAAATAAAAATTCTTCTCAGTTTATTTTTGTTCTATTTTGATTGTATTTTTAGATCAATATTGTATTTATTGTTCAATTTAAACCGTTTATGCTGTAAAACTGCTGTAATGTCCTATGTTTTTTTATTGCACTATGTTAGAAATTACGACCTTGAATTTTTCTTCCCCAATTGAAATTTGCTCATGAAAAAAAAAAACATTCCATTATTTCACAACCTAGTTCACAATAATAATTTGGAGTTAACAACATTCTAAAATAATTCTTGTTAATGTATTTTGTCTTTTTTTAAAACTCGATCCTTTCTATGTTTGTTTATTGCCCCTGTCAGCTCAAACAGAAAATTGTAATGTCCTTGTCCGCTCATAAGAACACGCTTCTTCGATATGTCGTGAGAATACTAGCACATCCCGAAAGTGTTTTTTTTCACAAGTGTACCTTAGAAAATTATTCTTTGTTTTTATTTCATATATTGAAAAAAATGGCCAGGTTATAATTAAGTAAGTGACTCAAATTCATTTTTACTTTTCAATTTGTTTTCAGTGTGTTGGCGTTTTGACACCGAAGTGTTTGGTGCAGGGTGCGCAGTGTGGAGTGTGTGTGGAGAAGCAGTGGAGCAGCAATCATGGCAGCTGCCCTGCGCGGAGGGAGTTCCAAAGGGACGAGGAGATTGTTTCAACTTTCACAGGCACACCCGGGTCGTAGCCATCTGGTATGCATTACAGTTTTAATGTTTGGTGGAGACTGCTGCTGTACGTTTAGGAGCTGGGGTTAAATGTCTTTGCTAAGTGGAAGAATTTTGTATTACATGCTAATGTTTTGATTTGTATTGCTAGAGTTAGAACTTAGAGGTCCTTGGCCTTGAGAGAGTTCGTTGACTGTTTGACCCCAGCTCCAAGTCTAGACAGTTATAGGGGAAACTGCGCATTTGGTGTATAAAAGTCTATGTCAAATGGTGTTTAAAAAACCGTTTCTGTTTTACAATCATTTCCCTATTCTCTGCTAAGCACACTGGTTAATTAAAGAGTTAGGTCAAAATATAATCTGTCTGATCACATGGCACATGTTGATGTTGAAATTGACATTTCATCATGTAAGCACAGAGCCTTCACAGTCAGTAGATCTACTGGAGCTTTGGGTAGGCTAGACAAAGGAAAAATCTTGACATGGCAGATCTAGTGGGCCACTGCTAGGATACTAATTTTGAATTGATGGCCACATCTTCATTTTTCCATAAAAAAGACTTAGGTTAGGTCAGTGTTTCCACCAACAAGTATTGACATGGCATCATATCATACTGTACACATACTTCCTCCAGTTGTCATTTATTAATGATTTAATTCAGATTTTATGGAATCAGGAAATACCCTGTGCACATTGCCCTTGGATCCCTTGTAAGGACCCCTTGTAAAGTAAAGTTGTTCCTGCATCCGATCCAGACATTGGGGATTGCCTTGTTAGTGAGACAACTTTCTGGGCCTTCGGCATATATATTGGGGTAGGGAGACCTGTTCCTTTCCACGCCGCCTTTACCTTTACTTCCCCAACTCGAATTCGGGTACCCATTACTGCTGGGTGGGCAGGAGGGGGTGAAATAAATCTGTCCGAACCGAGGTTCGAACTCGGACGTGCATATATTTGAGGTCAGCTCTATTTACCCTGAACAAGCACTCAGCATTTCACCAGAAGTAACCCGCCCAAAATGCCTCACCGCCCCGGCCAATCGGTTGTAAACATGGGGTTTTGGCAGGGGGATATGATCTGTTGAACCATTAAGAAGCGATCAAATAATTTAATACAAAGTGCAAAACGCGATGAACTCAACAATTGGTAATCAAGCACAGCGGAACAAGTGATAACACGCGTGTAGTCGCTCAGTTGGACCGCATCACTATCGATCGATATCTGGGCCAAGAGACGTGCTCCACGAGGTCAAGATCGCTTGCAAAGTCATTGGTCACTATTTATAACTTTGACCTGCAGTTTGCTATCATTTTCCATATTATAGGAATACTGAAATTTATCATTGAAAAGGGTCAGCGTCTATTTCCCTTTATATAGGGTAGCCCAGCTCACGCCCTGTATAGGGCCTGTGTGCTGCCAGGGTTAATGATGGCTCCTATGCATACAGGCCATCAAATTGACCTCTGCTTTGCTTCATCAAATTTGACCCAAAAAGCCAATTATTTTAGAAAAGAGCCCCTTCTGCTATTCTCGGCCTATCACATTCAAAGTTTAAATTAAAGATCTTGATTCCTCATGGACTTTGCATAAAACTTAGCTCTCTGTTCGGCTTTCATCAGACGTTTTAGAGATCTGAAACATCGAAAATCAGACATACTGTGCAGCATCTCTATAACGACATCGTCGGGACAAGAAAAAAAAATCGTTATAGAGAGTTGCCCTTATAGAGAGGCAACCAAAAATTAATGATATACTGAGTTGCAAAAGTTCTGTCACACCCATTATATTATGATAATTTCCGGTACAGCATAAGAATTACAGTAAAAATTAAAAGTGTGGCATTATATATAAATCTCCTTGTGCAAGAGCAAACGAAAGAAATCGTAAACTGGAAGTATTACGTGGACAAAGTGTTGAATTGATTTTTTATTTTTCTCTCAGTCTGCGTTGAAATCAACGCTTCCTACACACAAAATTTGCTTTGAATCACGTAGACAATGTGTTAGCACACTTACACACTATAAAATTCAGTACTTTTTAACGGTTGGGTGGTTTTTTCTCCTGTTTTCAAAATGAAAAAACTGATAAATTCATAAAATAAAGGAGCTGTGCGTATGATAAATTCTTTAATTGGGCTCTCTGCTGTTACAAGGCACCTAAATGTGTGCAGAAGAACCATCTAACGCTTGAACAAATGTTTTAAACCCCTAGAACTGTCCGAGACAGGCCTAGAGGTGGCCAACCAAGGGCGACAACTCGACACCTGAACTAGGTTATTGTCAACACCCATGTTCGAAACCCGTTCCAACTATGTGCAGAGACTGCCTGGTTCTTCAGGCTGTCTTAAAACACCATTATAATTAGACATTTGTAAGATCATCATGGATTTCATGATTATCGCCCTTTGTGTGGAGCCATTCTTACCCTGTTTCCGAAAAAATCGCCTAATTTTAGCACAACAGCATTGGCGATGAAACTAATGACGTTGGTAAAGTGTTCTTTTAAGCAAGGGTTAAGATTTTTAATTCGTCACATTGAGGGAAGAGAAGTGTTTTAAAGAAGAGAATAGAGATTTCTGAAATCCAACGTCCCCCAAGAGGCCCGAATTGATGGCTGAAATGTGATGGTATGGGGTGGAATCTCTGCTCTTTATTGTACACATTTGGTTACTTTTCAAAGCAACCTCAAAGGACAACAGTATTGTGACGACTTTCTTCGTCACGGTGACTGCGCATCATGGCACAGATGATGGAATGTGCTATCAAGACAACGCCCGACCACAAATAGCTATGATCAGTGAAAACGCCTTCCAGACTCATCAATTCGTTGTTCTGGACTGGCCTGTAAGATGGCCTTGACTTGAGGATTAGAAATATGCCGCACTCTGTGTAATCTCGTCGGGAACTGATCGCTGCACTTCACAAGGAATGGCAGGACGGGGATTCTTCAGACAACCATAAGGACATTAATTCAGTCAATGAACAGATGTTTTGTATCAGTAATTCAAGTTGGAAGAGGCCACACGCCATACTGAGCAAACTTTGATTTGGATTGTGCAATGGTCAGTGTTAATAAAATTATCTCCCTTGAATAAGGAAAGACATTTATCAATTCTTTTCCTGTCATGTTGGCAGAATAGGAATAAAGATCTCGTGTACCAAATTACTAGATAGTAAAATTGTACTTTTAAGGTGGATATGACAAAACTTTTGCAACACGGTATAAAGGGGAAAAAATCGGGGCCTGGGCACCATGCTGTTATAGAGAGGCTGCACTGTATTTTATTTTTGTTAAAGATTTATTCAAATTATGTCATATTGATAGGCTGTGTGGGCCATCCCGAGCTGAGGGATGCAACATATCTGCAGAAAGCCTAGACTGAGGTGCTTGGTAGATCAGATTTTTCCCACTTTGGAATCAAACTTGAGGCTCCTGTGTGAGACAGCAAAATCATGAAAAGGCCTACCACTACAACAGGGGACAGGTGCCAGTGAAATGTTTTGTAAAGATAAGGATCAAAACACAGCTGTGGAATCATTGACTGAATTCCATGGCATAAAAACAAAATCAACTTTTGTGGGAGAAACATATTGCGCCTGTAAAGAAATGGGCAATATACACTGATAATATTAATTTCTTCTAGTAGTGATAGTAGTGTTATAGGCCTACTACTTTTGCTGTCATATTTTGTACTGCACCAAAAATGCCCTTAGATGATTTGTTTTCATTTTTCTGAACTTCTGGAGTAGACAAGTGTATGGAACCATTACAATTCTGTAAAATGGTCTCTCTGTTCATTTTTTATTCACAGGGTTAATTATTTTTTATTTGGGTTTGCTGTTAGTTCATGTTCCTAATTTGTAATTTAATAATAATAATGATAATTTATAGCAGATCCCTTGAAGGTAATCCACCTTCTGGTTTACTTATGTACTTCTACTTCTATGCTTGCCCCTGCAGGTGAGGGGGGGGGGGGGGTGTCCCATAGTTTTACTATGGGGGAGCAAAGAATACAACTGCCGTGATACTGCGTGTCGTAAGAGGCGACTAAAGGTGTATAGGTCTGGTTGCCCGAAAAGTGCCAGTTTGCGAAGGGCCAACTACCTGACCTAGTAAAAAACGGAAAGTTATAGAAACACGAACAAACACTTCTTATTTTTCCATCTTGGGAGACGGAGCTTCTGTACCAGCAGGAACAATGAAGGACAGCGGACAAAGCCGATTCTTCTGACCCGAAACCTTCTCTCTCCGGATTGCGTCATGGAATGTTCACGCCATGTATGAAGCAGGAAAGAGTTCTCAAGTGGCAAGAGATGAAGAGATATAGGCTGCCCATACTAGGGGGCAGCGAAGCCCTCTTGGTACCGTCTGGACTGAAGCAGTAGAGCTCGGGAGAACAAATATTGTATTTTGGGAGGGAAGGCACCATGCGGAGGGAGTTTTAATTATTTTGAGTAAGTATGCACAGAAGTCACTTAGAGGATGGGAACAATAGGGGGAGAGGATCATCATTGCTTCATTCACTTCAAGGAATAAGAGCATCCACATGAACATAATTCAGATCTATGACCCGACAAATGAAGACAAGGATGCGTTTTACAGCCGGCTCCAGGGGGTCATCGACAAACTACCGAAGAAGGATGTCAACATCATAATGAATGATAATGGGAGTGCCAATGCCAAGATTGGTCAGGACAACGTAGGTTATGAGGGAATCATGGGACAACATGGCTTGGGACAATTGAATGAGAATGGGGAGCGATATATGCAAATATCTGTACTTTCAACAGTTTTGTCATTGGAGGCTCTGTTTTTCCCCACAAGAGGATCCACAAGGCTACATGGTTATTATCGGATGGAGTGACGAGATTGATCGTTTTTGTATCTCACATAGGTTCATGTTTTCACTGGAAGATGTCACCGTACAAGGAGGGGCAGATGTTGGATCGGATCATCATCTACTGTTACCAAAACTCATGCTTTGTCTCAAAAAGCACGGAACCAGAACAGGTACCAGAAGAACGAAGTTCCAAGTAAGTTTCTTACATGGACACAAGAAAGAGGAGTTTCAGCTGCAGTTGAGGAACCGATTTCAACCCTTGGCGGATGTTGGTAAGGAGGACATGGAGGTTGAGATGCACTGGACAAAGGTCAAAGAAGTCTTTACTTCAACTTGTCAAGAAATACTCGGTGAGAAGAAATTGGAACACAAGTGTCTGAGGAATCTACTAAGGACAGACAAGACCACCAACAAGGAAGTATTAAGAAGAACAAGACAGAGCCCAGTCAGAGATGAGGTGGGAAGAAGGCGTTGGCGATGGATTGGACACACTTTCAGGAAGTCAAGCAGCTGCCTAACAAGGAAGGTGAGATTGGAACCCACAGGGTAAAAGATAAAGGGAATAACCACTTGGAACCTGGAGAAGAGTCACGGAAATGGATGTACAGAAAAGTGAGAAGACATGGAGTGACATCAAGCGACTCGCCCAGGATAGGGAAAGGTGGAAAGTGTTTGTTCGTGGCCTATTTCCTGATCCAGGGTGAAAAACTTAATGATGATGATGACTTCTGTTCTATCATCTATGTTTATCGTTATATAGTTGTTTACCTGTATACAGACTAGCCACTCATCCCGATTTAATGGGTATATCACAATTTTTTTCCCCAAATCTCAAGCATCCCGATTTCAATTGTGCGTTTCCCGATTTTCTTGTTCTGTGTGTTGCGCCGATTTTTCAAAAACCTTAGTCTGCTTTCTTCCTTGTCGCGAGAAACACCTGTTGAACTTTTTGTATGCAGAAACCCAGAGTTTTAGGCCTATTTTCCAAAATATTGATGCTGGATTTAGTAGTTGACTCGCCTTAATTTCTTTGGTTTGGATTTTTGCCTGCCCGTGTTATTTCATCTAGAATCGAAGTTCTGACTTAGACATTTTCAATAGGCCTATCTACTTTCACTTTTGTTACCACTCAGAATTCTCTGATGATGACCTGATAACTTACAATTGCGACATACAAATGATCAATATTATTCATAGTTCTGCTCTAACTTTCAAAGCAAGCTTTGTCCAAGGTCTAGGTAGTCAGTTGGGCCCGTCATCTAGACCCGTCAGTAAAACTGTTTCAGTAACGCGTTTTCATCACGTGACATGACTTCGGTGTGTGAGTTCTGCTTGTGTCTGGGACTATCTGTAGATAGGTTCAACTTAAGTTCATGCACGCACGATGAAGTGTCTTCTGGGACTTGTTGGAGGGGGGTGGAGAGGACACACTAAAAATCATTATAATATCTTCACTGCCGATTGTAGCGTAGCTGCTGATTAATGTATGTTTAGGATTTTGGGAACTTTGTGGCTTATGAAGTGAAAGGGGTAACTATATTATGTATGCTGGCTTTTGTATTAAAATGTGGTCCGTTTAATTTTCAGGCTGTGGGCGCGGCGTGGGCTTCAAAACATGGCCCCGATGATCCGAGAGATCCCAAGTTTGCCAAGTGGACCGAAAAGCCTCACATAGAAACACCTAAAAAGCATTCTTTAGAACTCTACTCTCGGGAGCCTGTAAAAGGGAAAGTGTTTGAAAAGCTGCCCTTCAGAGTGAAGCTTGAGGCTGGGAAGACCTATTCTTTCTGCACATGTGGATACAGCAAACAACAGGCAAGTCTGTGTTCAAGCTTTAGACAGTCTAAAGGGCTGATGGGCTTTTTGTTAGTTAATACCAATGGGACATGGAAGAAGGCATCAAATGTACAGATAACATCATCATTTATTTCTCTTCTTCCCTCAGTGTTGATTTGGTGACCTTATTTAGGTAATATGTAGCCCAAATGAATACTTCCATTTTAAGGATATATCTCAGGCGCTATTTAAAATAAAATCGAAGATACAGGGAGTTTTTCTCCAGTTTGAACATATAATATCAAATTTTATTTTTTTTGGCTGGACACCTTTTACGTCCGTCTAAAAGGACATTTCCCTGTGAATTTTACTGAAAAATGATGACTAATGGCACAAAATGTGTACATTTTCAACTTTCAAGACTCAAGTTATAGATAATCTAGAAGTTACCCAACTTTGGCTGCCATTTTTTCACTAATTTTAACCCTGAAGCTAAGCAACCTTCTACCTCCTTCAACTTCTATTGAAAATAAATTTTAGATGCTTCCAATAACTCCACATCCCCAAAAATTGGCGAGCGCCTGATTCCACCGCGTCATGACTCATATGTAGACAAATAAGCACTTCCACATGAAGGCTATGTAGCCTTAATAAGCCAACACACACACATGCACTGACACCCCCTGCTACGATAATTTGGGCTACATTTACATATTACAGTACTCGCTGCCATACAAAGACACACTTCACTCAAACACACACTTTTGTCATGTGACGGATATTTTACTTTAAATAATTTTGACGTACAAATGCACGGTTACTTCTTCTAAGCGCACACTTCGATTCGCAAAACACGCAGACAGGTAAAATTTGACAACGGGAAATTTTCACTACAACCTACCTGTATCTACCTGTGTGTGCATTTTCAAATAATTGGAGTGTCTACCGTAAAGTATACTTTGACAACTGTATTATTATTTACTCCTCATTTTATTTTGTATTTCGTCAGATTTTACCTGATTTTTGGGTAAAATTCTATTTGTTTTGTCCCCATTTTGTAATGGCAGAACGAGAGCCACCAAGAAAATAACTGAAAAATCAGCACTCAAACATGGAAACTTTTTTTTTTTTTTTTTACTTCTGCAAACTGAATAATTTTTTTTTTTTAACTTACTATGTTCTTGGGTATATTTTAAAACTGATTAATTGCTATATGATGTGGATACAACTCTCTTCAAAGTTCCTGGTATCAATGACAATGTAGTACGTGTATGCATTTATAATTTCTTTGTGCTGAATTGACTGCTATTATTATTACAAATTTTCTCCCAAAACTACTAATCTTAAAAATCTCAACTAGGCAGGTCTGGAAAAGTGCTCAGCCACACGGCTTTACGAGTGACCACTCCCGACTGTTATTGGCGATTCCATGTTCAAAACCAGGAAAATGATTTCAACTATGTGTCTTTATATATAAATAAGGCCTGTTTACGGCCGCTTGTTGGGGAAAATGGAAAGGCGAGACACTGACTCGCCGACTGTGGCACCTGCCGGCGACTGACTGAGAATGGGATGGGGAAGGGGAGTGAACGATCAGGAATAGGGGTAGGGAGGTGATGCCCAGCTCGCGAGGCACTGTACTGTGTTGGAGACTATTTTAGTTTAGTTTTAGTAGAGGTTTTACGGCGCTCGCAACTGCATAAGGTCATATGAGCGCCAGAAGATTAGAGGTGTTACAAGAGAGTAACGAACATAAAAAAGAAGAATGGGAGATAAGGACGATAGATTTTTGATAGGAAAGAAGAAGCAAACCACACCAGAGCACCCGCCAACCACCCACTTGGAGACTATACTGTGTAGGTCCAACATGACCTACTAAAGCCTGGTGTGTCGAATAGGCTACTACTACTAGGTGGTATGCGGACTTAATGAAGAACTATGCGTTGACTGTTAGTGTGGCTTTTCCCCCCTTTTATGTTCATGGGCCTCGCCAGGTACCCAGGAAGCATGTCGATAAAGCAGAATGGGCTGAAAAAAAGTATTATGTAAGAGGAATTGTTTAGTGACGGTATTGTAGGAAAAATTTCGTAATTGGAAGATGTCGATATAAATGGATTATATATCATAAACATAATATATAAGTTGACCAGAAAAGCATTAGTAACTACTGCCAAGTGACCATAACCACCAATTACTTTACTTTTACTTTTATCCCACGGCGCACCGGCTGTGGAATTTTAGTTGCCGCGGGGGGTTCCCCGCCGGGCGCTTTGTCACGGGGGTCAGCTTCCTGTCGCCGCTCTCTCTGGGTCGACTTAATTTTTGGTACTTTTCATCATACAATTTAAGGTGAATCCTGGTGTTTATGGTAATTCTCATTAAGTGCACCCAAAGCACGCATTTCTGCTCTTGAGACTCAAAAAAGAACGGACGTTGTAACTTGTCTGGTTATTTCGTTAGACACGCTGGAGTCGGCAATGCTAAATTGTAAATTTTTTTTGACTAGCGTGAATGAAAAAAAATCAGTATAAAAAAAAGGCCTTGACAAAATCAGTCGAACTTTTGGAACATGAACGACATAGCATTGGTGCAGATACTCCGAAAAGATGGTATCTGCGCATATAATAGAAAGCTGTAATTTTGCAACTTTATCCATCGGGCACACAATTCGCTATGAAGTAATTCCTCCAAATACAACTCTATGTGTCTAATATAATCGTGAATATTCGCATATTTTCTCGAAAGTTTATAAAAGTCACCATGAATTTTCTCTATGGAAAGTACAAATTGATTTTAGTGCTAGAATACATCTTCAATGTAGATCTAATACACGAACAGCATCTGTTACACTCCAGAAATTCCTTACTTTTCTTAAAACGCTAAGTCTAGGTTTTGTAAGTTGACTGAATAATAGGGATGACTTCTCGTAATTGGGTTATAAGAATAATTTCTTGCCTTCCAGGGACACTGAATCAGCACCAGACTTTTCCAGCTTTATTTTTCGTTTCTATGACCATTTGTACAATAACTGACAATGTGACTGATTTCCTTACATTCATAATTGTGTCCGCACATATTTCCGACTCAAAAACTAAGAATGAATGAGTTAACTGTCATTATTTGTATTCCATACAAGAAGTTTATCTCTACCCATGTATTACACGGTTTTGTGGGTTTTTTTAATCTCTTAGATTCTATATTATATCTTTTTAGTTGTATGCAGGCTGCCACAGACACAGCATGATTCATGAACAAACGCAGAGTAACTTTCTCTTGTTTATTAGTAAAATAAGAGCTGACGCTGATCGTCTTTAGTTAAAAAATGCAAATGTGCATCTTTCTTCTCTTATAACTTGACTATTTCTACTCGCCCAGATTTAAGATTTCTCATGGTAAAAGAAATGATATTCATAGTCAGTTTAACACAGATTTTGGAAAGATCTGTCGTGCCTTTTTTAGATTAACAGTCATTTATTCATAAGTTTGTAACTAAAATAGGAGAAATTGGGTACTCTACAAATACTTGTCTAGAACAAAAACTAAGGCTCAGAAATTAACCATTCTAAGGCATAATAAATCTCAAGACATTGAGCTTTCAGTACATTCTCGTAATGGTTTGCTATGTGGGATGGGGAAGAAGTTATATCATTTTAAACATAGACAAAAATGTGAACTTCCTAACCGACACCGGCAAAGTTGCTTCAGGGCTCATTAACCCCTTGACCCCGAGCCGGGGAGCTCCGGCGGGCTGCTGAGTCACGCAAACTAAAAGTAACAGCATCGGGCGAAAAGTGACGCCGTGATCTGCCACTTATATACCCTTTTGGGTGTCGATGGAAGAAAGAGACGTTTCTCTGTCGCCAGCCGGAGAGCTTGGGTCAGGGGGATTCCGTGGGTGGTTAATGTTTCCCTGACTCCATCTATCCAGGTCTTTCTCAGTCGCCCTCTAGCCTTGTTGCCATCGAAGTTTCCTATGTAGGCTCGTTGTACTCGATGGTGTGTTGGTAATAGTAGGAGATGTCCGAACCATTTGATTCTTTGGTGTTGGATGTGATGCATGACATCATTTGTGCCCACCATTTCTCGGATTACAGAGTTTCTAATTTTGTCTCGCCTGGTCTTGTTTACTGCTTTTCTAAGGCATCGCATTTCACATGTTGTAATTCTTTGCTCTAATGTCTTGTTCGTGGTCCATGTTTGGCATTGATAGGTGAGTGTTAGGATGAATATGGTGTTGATCATTTTGAGTTTTGTTGTCATGGGGATGTTAGGATGTTTCAGTCGTGGAGTAAGCTGGTAACTAACATTGTTGGCCTTTTGTACTCATGTTTCTATTTCTCTGTTCGGTCGCCCATCCTCTGTGAATATACTTCTGTGGTACTTAAATTCTTGGACCTGTCTGAGACTGTTGTAGTTGATGTGTATCCTGAATGGTTTTGGCTTTCTGCTTACTTTCATTGTCTCTGTTTTGTTGATGTTGATCTTCATGTCGTAGTTGTTACATTCTTCGTTTAATCTGGTGGTGTGGTGTTGGAGACTTCGTTCATCTTTGTGTGCCAGGCTTTGGTCATCAGAGAAGAGTAATTCATTGAAGGCGTCTGGTTCTGTGTTGTCCTCTTCTGTAATTTTGTACATATATATGATAAATAGTAGTGGTGATAGGACACAACTTTGTTTTACTCCAGATGTTATCTCGAACCATTCTGTGAGTCCCTCTGACGTTCTTACTGTACTTACGCTGTTCTCAACTTTGGAATTTCAGTTATCGATCTGCGGTTAACGGCTTATTTCCAAGAAAACAAGAGAAGGCATATTTAGAAATTCAATCTAACCAAATGCAGTGAAGTTACCGGTACTTGATACACAGTGCTACAAATGAAACATAAAAGTAAAAGTGAGGTTATGGAGTGGTGTTTCAGCAGTTAACACATGTATGTCCCTTTCTAAATTCTTGTTGTGTTTATGCATGAGTATACCTGACCTTTGTAACACCACTGCCATGTAAACGACTGTGACAAATTTTCCTTATAAAATGAATAATGTTTGCATTATACTGTTGGCTTACGAGTACTAGCTTTCTTATTTCCAATACCCAAATTAAATGCTGAATTTTCTTCTTTGCTTTACAGCCATTCTGCGATACTTCACATAAAGCACCAAATTTCATTTCGACACGTCCACATCATATCAGATACAGACCGCTGCCTTTCAAGGTCGATGAGACGAAAGAGTATTGGCTTTGTATGTGTAAGCAGAGCAACAAGCGTCCCTTCTGCGATGGTTCCCACAAACGCCTCGAGATACAAAATGCTGTGCGTTCCTAAGAATTTCAAAGATGCATTTTGTGACGCTGGTCAAGATTATTCTTTAATTTTTATCAATATTGATCAGTAACACCTTCAACTGTTTTGAGAATATCCTCCTGCTATTTGTATTTTCTACAAACAGCAACTTGCATTTTCCTGTGAGCCCTCCTTTTAGTTGTGAGTGTATGGAGGAGCCCAATTTGCTTAGATTATGAATGAGCTTTATGGATTGTTTCCATTGTTGATATTTTTCTATTGTTGTCATTACATTACTAACAAGTGTAAATATTGTTAATCATAATCAGTTTGTTGAATCATCTAATTGGAAAATGAACTGTTTCTACTTTCCTTCTATGTTCATTTAGAAAACTGAAATTTTCTTCTGATCTTGCAAGACTTTCAGTATTTACATTTGTCATTTAATGGTGCAATTAAATACAATATTCAGGTGACTTCAGGCTTTCAAATGGGGGTATAGATATCTTCACAGAATGCTGTACATATTATGTGGAGAGAATTAATCATGCACTTATCCTGATCAATGCAAGTTAGTGATTTGTGTGACAGTATCAAGAAGAAAAACAAAGCTGGTGCTGTGACCCAACTTACTACAAAGTCTGTCAAATGTTATTGACTTTTTTTTACGTATATATATATTTCATACATGTCATTATAGTTCGTTGATCTTCTTGTTCAAAAAGCCTTGAGTTGTAACGATTAAAAAAATATACAATATGAGCTTGGTAGTGCAAGTTTTCTGTTTTCTTTGTGTTGAAATGTGTGTTTTGTACTTGCTTATTCTGTTTTTTAGTCCAACTGTTAACGTTAACTATTGTTTGTACCTACTATTGAACTCGGTGGCCTTGATTCTCCAGTGTCTTGGCCTGTTTGTGGAAAAACCTACTTTTAATCTATCTAATCTAATTGATTGGGTCCTGCAGCATAGCCTGCTGCTGGAATGAGAGTAAAAAACAGTTGTTGTTTTTTTTTAAGCACAGTGCCTAGATTTAAAGTATAGTGTATTGTAACGGTTGATGACAAACAGCAAACTGAACCAATGAACAATGTACTTCAGAAATGAGTGTCGGACCCTTGAGAATGAACTTGTCTCAAACAAAGAGAAAGAGCAGGCCAGTCTTTGTGATTATGTAGCCTACTACCGTATTACTTTTTTCAGGAATATTTTTTTAATGCTCAGGCTGCAGATGGTAGGTTAAGACTTCTTTTGTTTCCCTCTAGTCTATCTTGCTTTTTTCCTCTCAAAATCAAATCTTTGTTATTGTGCCAGTGTGCTTCTCTGTTGGCTACTTCAACATTACTGTATTCTTGCTGTCCTATTATTTAGAATTCAGGGTTCTCAAGGGTGAGCACTGTAGTGTGGTGACTCTTTCTTTGTACTTTTTATTTTGTTCAGGAGTTATGTTTCTGGCAAAGTCCGAAAAGTGTGACCATTATCAGTATCATCAGTATCACGTGTTGTTGAATTGTAATCCTCCTCTTGTCTATGTAGGTCCTACTTCTTTTTTCCTGTCGATCTGTCTCGCTTCTTCCAACGGTATACAGCAGTCTCCGCCTAAAAGCACGCTCAACTCAAATGCATGCTTTCGTCATCTGTCGGTTTTTTACTACATAATTTAGACGTACAAATGTACGGTCACTCCCTCTAAACGTACGTTCCAATCCATGAAACACGCCGACAGGAGCTGAACAAAGGGAAGTCTACACAGCTTGCATAAGACAAGCCTAGACAGCATGATATTTGGTGAGTGGGATTGGCCCTCACGCCGAACACAGATAATGATAGACAGCATTTTCACACCCAATTTTCCACAGACACATAGGTCTAAGACTGGTCGGTGAAATGTGGGGGGGGGTGCTGAAACGTTATTTGATTGGTCAATGGAAATGCATCTTTAAGAAGAGAAGGCTTCTGGCTGGTGTTTGGGTGACTGCATGTAATGTTTAGTTTAGACCAAGGCCTATGATGCGCAGCGCGCGTGAAAGCTCGTCTATGAATTTACGGTCGGGGGTGGTCGCTTGGAAAGCCACGTGGCTGGGCCGTCGTCTCTATGACTAATGGCTATCACGAACAATTTCCTTTTAGGCTGTCTGTTCCCGACATTTTATGGTGCATATCATTACATTGAGTCTGTATTTCTGCTTTCCCACACGAGCGCGCACACACACCCATTCAACGCCTTTGTATTCTTAACCGCAGTCGGGGAATCCTTCACTTCACAAAACAGTCACGTGTCATCACATTATCGACCCAAAGCCCAAAGTGACCCCCACCCCAAAGGGAGGTCACTAGAATATCAAGGCGTATACAGATGACCGCGTCCCTTCCTCCCTTTGAGGTTCATGTAAACGCACGCTCCGTGTAAACACACGCTGAGGAGCCCTCCCGAGCACCGTGCGTTTAGGCAGAGACTACTGTACAGGATCGAAGTGCTTCTCTTTACTCAACACTCAAGAGACTTCCCTTCCTTTAAAGCTCTTCTTTAGAAGGGAATGTCAGTTAACTGCAGAAGGCCTTCATCATGTAACTAATAAGTAAGTTTAATACTGTGTCACAACTGTGTGTACCATAGTCTGTTTACAGTTGTAAAATATGAAAGCTACTGATTGTCATGGACAGAAGTTGAGATAACAGGCCTACATACTGCCGTAAACTAACAAAACGCTTTTTTTCATTTTGGTTCCGAAATATTTCATTAGCTAAATCAAAAGCCTGATCAGTTACCTTACTTGTGTGAAGAAACAAAATTGAAACTGTGACTAGTTTTTTTAATAAATTAGAGTTCAAATTTCGGAATGACTCTTTTTAAATGATTACGCTCCCCAAAAAAACTTTTTCTCAAAACTACTCTAAAGGGGAAAAAAGCGTTTTATCTACTTGCGGCAGTATAATAGTAGGCCTACCGGTTTTCTGAACCTGACCCACAGTATAACTTTGGGGGGGGGGGGGGGGGGGGCTCAACAGTTACCAAATCAGAGGTTGCAAAATGCATTGTTGCATACAGATCAGTGTCAGTTATAAGTTGCAGTATAGAACAACTTGACCAGACCGAGAGGATTGCACCATGTTCTGGTCCACAGCCTGCCACAAACCTGGGAGTAAGACTCTTCAAATCAAACTTTAATTAAATCTTGGCCGTATATGGGCTTTTCTATATTGAATACTTATAAGTTATTCTGACACAAACCAAGGGCAAGTAAGTGCTCAGGTGTGGTTCGTTCCTTCTTTTCTATCAAACATCTATCTCTCTCTCTTCATTTTTTTGTGTTATCTTCTAGTAACACTTCCAATTCCAATCTTCTACATTTATTTGACCAATTTGAATTTGTGTTGCAAGAGCTGTAAAACTCTTACCAGTGGGTGGTTTGCAGGTGCTCTAGTGTGGTTTGCTTCTTCTTTCCTATCAAACATCTATCATCTTTATCTACCCTCCTTTTTTTTGTGTTTGTTACTCCTTGTAATATCTCTAATCTTCGGCACTTATAAGACCTTATTGTGTTGCAAGTGCCGTAAAACACTAAAACAAACGTACTTTTACCAAACTAAAAACCAACAGCAAGCTACTGTTAGCATCATCTTACACTTTGAGTTTGTTTCATAACCATAACAACACTAGTAACAGCAACAGGAAGCCTCCAGCTGTTTGGCTAAAATTTGTCAGGAAAAGCTGAGATAACTGTTATAATTATAATAAAAATAATAATACAAATTCCACACAGACAATGTTTAGTGGAGTTCTGAGAGACAAGTCACAAATCTGTGATGATTATGTTCAACTTCAACTGTATTGAAACACAAATAAATTAACAACGTAAGTAAGGAACAAAAGTGAGATTTCAAGATTATTTTCAAAGTATGGTACTTTTTAATATATATAAATAACATAAAATGAAGGTAGAGTGACCATAACAACAATCAAATTTTCATCAACTGCTATGAAGTGTATCTGTTCTGTTCTGAATAAAAAGAAAACTCTTCTCTTTTGTATACCCCAAGTCTGTCTTCATATTCTCTAAATGTCTCACCACACAATGCACACCCAGTTACTTTTACACTGGTACAGAACCCCATTATACCGCCAACCCTGCTACACCACCAATGTCATGCTCGTTCCAAAGGTGGCGGTATAATGAGGTTTGACTGTATAATGCTCATCCAATGGCGACATTCTTACAAACATACTGCTGTACCCTGATGATAGATCTTAAAATGACCTAATACTAAGGCAGCCAATCATACACACACTCCAATTCATCCTTGCAATTTCTCCGGTCCTTGATACTAATATTTTTATCATCTTGCTTTTGATACATTTAACCTTGAGTAAGTTTTTCCATGCATTTTGTGGCGTCCTTCAGCTTTCCTACTAGATCCTGGAATTGAAATAAAAGAGAGAAGAGTTTGCTCAATACCAAAATCAGTTCATTAATAGACATTCTGATAAATTGGACAAAGAAAACAAAGGGAACCATCACATTGAGCATTTGAAGCAATATTATACAATGGTTTTGTTCACAGCTTTGCTTATTTCTGAGGAAGGCAGCAAAAGGGAAATTTGCACTTTTTGCCATCACCATTTACTGTATTTTTTTCTCTCTCTTGAAAAATTTTGCTTTCAAGGCTTGTGACATTTTATTATCTGGCCGACAAAATGCTTTAAACTAATTGCAAGTTTGCACATAATTTTCCTTGGTATTCGAGTTCTAAATGTGACCTTTCTGAAAAAAATCAACCGTAGGCATTTTTTCATAGCTATGTCCTACAAACAAAATTTTGAAGATAAAATAATTCTAGTGTCTCTCCACAATTTGTAATTAACCACTTCTATATCATGACAAATTATAACACAAACAGAGTTCAACCCAAGCCTTGACTATCAATGATCAAATAAGAGCTGAAGTAACTAGTTTTGCAGAGATACAAGATCTTTTTTTCTGACCTTTAAAATAAATACTCTGTTACTATTTTTCATCACGCAAAATAAAAGTGTGGTCAGTGTGCTAATTCTATGCGTCTGCAAGAAAGCTGATTACAGAAGACTTCTATGAGGGCTGCGTGCAATGCAATCGAAAAGGTGAAGTGCTTGGCTTAAAAATAGGCAGACGTCTTGAACAGTGTCTTTATAATTAATATACATGTCCAGAAATTTTTTATTTTTTTTTAATGTACGGGGGAAGTGGCAAGTGATCATTTACACCGGTGATAAAAGGTGGCTATTAGACAGGTTCAATTGTAGCCTTTTTTTTTTTTACCATCATCAAGCAAACATTGGATGATTTACATTAACCCTATCCGTACGCCCTGGGGTCATTTTGTACCCCCGTGGTTGTATTCTTCACATTCTAGAATACTTCTAGTACGAAGGTCTCTTTGAAACTTTCCGTATTTCTCAAAAAATCAATTTGACAGACTGCTATGCAAAGCGTACGGATCGGATTAATGAGTAAATTTCCTCTTTGGAAAGTGGTGGCACTGAGTTCCCCACGTCGTATGGATACGATGGTAAAACATGAGATACGGATAGGGTTAATAAATAAAAATCAAAGAAGATGGAAATTTTGCCTACCTGCAATTGTTCAAGTGAACATGAAAACTGCACCTCTTGAATATCATTGGAGCCAGGAACCTAATAAAAGATGGCAAAGAGAAAACAAATAATCCTAATGAAAATGAAACATACATTGTATCTCTGAGGGATTCAGCCATTCATTATCAAGCATCATTTAGTCCTAAGAAAATTTTGATATCCAGATTTCAGTAGTCTCCGCCTAATCCTAAACGCACGGTGCTCTGGATGGCTCCTAAGTATGCTTTATCTGAACCTGTTCAACGGGGGAAAAGGACGCAACTATCTCATTTCCTTGATATTATAATGACCTACCTGGGGGAAGGAGGGGGTCGCTTTCTCCAATTCCGATCACGGTTATCCCTACCAAAGTTTTTGAAAGAGGGGTGAGAACAACTTGAGCAGAAAAAACTCACTGCACTGATGTGCACTAACATGTTGGGAGCCAATAAGAGAAAACTTGATGATGAAACAGTAGTCTCCGCCTAAACGCACGCTTTCATCATATGACAGGTTTTTTACTATATAATTTAAACATACAAATGCAGTAATTTCTTAGGGTTAAAATGCTTTTTGATTGGTAACTCAAAATGCGTCTTTGAGAGAGGGTTTCTGACTGGTTTTTGAGTGGCTGCATACATAATGTTTAGTTAGACCTATGATGAGCTACACGTGTTAATGCAGTAGAACACTAGATAGGCCTCTGTAGGATTAAAAATTAGTCAAGTAATCATCTGTGCTCGAAGAACTTAAAACATACTTGTTCAACGAATCACAAGAGACAAGTCTCCAAGAAAGTCTGATTATGATGTCACCCATGAATTTAACGAGTTGCAATAGAAGACAGGCAGTCAGGGGTGGTCACTTGGAAAGCCACATGGTTGAGCGCTCGTCCCTATGACTATCACCAACAGTATCCTACATATATGTTCCCAAAATTTTATAGCGCATTCAGAACAGTGAGTCCGTCTTTCTGCCCCCACCCCACCCCCTAACCCATTCACCACATTCAACGTCTTTTTAATTCATAACCGTAGTCAGGGAATCCCTGACAAAACAATCACAAGTGGCCACATTATTGGCCAAAGTGACCCCCACGCCCTCCCAAAGGAGGACACTGAAATATCAAAGAAATTAGATGATTGTGTCCCTTCCTTCCTTTGCACATTTTCATGTAAACGCATACACCATATAAACACATGCCAAGGAGTCCTCTCGAGCACTGTGCATTTAGGCGGAGACTACTGAAGTCAGGGAAAAGCGTTCAGCTGAGTGCTGTCATTTATTGAATAATGTTTCGTTCTAATACAAGTGTAGCAACTTACTAAATGCAATGGGTCATTTCAACTAGCAGCATAGTTCTTTACAAATGAAGGCCCTAGAATGAGATCAATGGACATGTTGAAAAGGAAAATCCAATGAGGTAGGAACAACTGTACAAATGATTTCAGTCTAAATGGAAAGACACTGTCAAATCTAGATCCAAACTTCAAAAACAGAAAGACGTAAGAGCCTGACACAGTTCAGATACTTTTGCTTCTTAAAGTAAAAGTTTCTTTTCAAAATTATGTTGTCCGTCAGAGGCTGCTTCTGCTAAGACTAAGAAGAGCTCATCAGTCTTCAAAGGCTATAAATTTTTTTATATGAAAAAATCGATTATTTTTTTAATTGCACAAGACAGCAATGTAGTCTTGAAATGCAACAAAAGGTATATTTTTTATTTACATTAGCACTCACCTCCGTTTTCAGTGATATGAGATAGACTGCTGAGTTGACCTTCTCCAGGTGGTTGTTCTGAGGAGGAAAAGAAAACATTTCTGTCACTTTACATATCGTTTAAATTTTTTATTTTTTTAAAACGTTTCACACTTCTATTTATGCACAGGGGTAGACACTTTACAATTAAACACAGAAAAAAATCTTTTAGCTTACAGTTTATCAGATTATTACAACCAGTTCGAATGCATCCTCATTCACTAAATTCCTTCCAAAAGTCACAGATTCAGAAAAAGGTGCACAAAAAAAGCTTAACAGATTTAATTCGGCCCTGATGCACATTCATCTTTAAATCCTGGACCACATACTGTTTATGTTTTTGTGTGTATAACATCCTGTTAGACATGCTATCTGTATGTTACATCAAAATTTTTGTTTACAAGACTGGACTCGTGTGCAACAGCAACACAAAAGAGAGCTGGTTAGATGACAAAGTACATGTAAGTGCTAATAATATCCGCACACAAGAGATGTTGTGGCACATGAGTAACACCCTTACTACATATAGTCAAACCTGCTCAAATGGCCACCTGTCAAAGACAACCACCTGTACAAACAAGCACTTCCCATTTCCCCCCTAGCACTTTGTTGTAATGATACCGTCCTATACGTCCACATGTCAAGACAACCACTTTTTCTCCTGGACAATGGTGGGTGGCCATCTTGTACAAATGGAACTCTATATATATGAAACAATCCCAAATTAATACCTTGATGTAATAATCCAGTCGCCAGTCCACATCAACTATGTGAGGGAAACTTGAACTGATTCTGTAAGACAAAAGAAATAAAATGCTGATTTAAAAACTTGCTTTACTAATATTTTAAAATGATCTTCCATCTTCTAACATCTCAAAGAAATTAACCCTTAACATGTATTCAAAATCAATTAGATACACATTTAGCCACTAGCTAAGAGAGTAATGAGTTCAGACTTAAAAGTAATCTCAAGCAAGTGTTGTTTAAAAAGGGTTTACATGGGTGGTCACAGGGGGTGCTGTCCTTGAGCAAAACACGACAACCCTAGCTGAAAAATAAACCAAGGAGCTGCACAGTAGCAACCAGTAATGGCATACTTGTGAAAATGTTCTGTATTGGTGTGATATTGTATATTTATGTACGTATGAATTTCAAATTATGTACTTTTACATATGTATGTTAGCCATTGTAACCCAGATTTTCCCACACAGATCAATAAAATGTAATTTTATTATCTATTATTATTACTCATTTATAAATTATCATTACTTTTTTTATTAGACTCATAATTATAAAATATGAAAAAATCCTTTCTTCTCTTTATTGAACAAGGTGATCTTTACGTCACATTACGTGATTACATAAACAGAGAACACCCAAAAACCATGGTATTGACCAAGTCGAAGCTGTCAAACACAACTACTCTTTCTAGAGGAGAATAATGGTCATTTTAGACAGGCGATCCTCTAGAAGTGTCATTATAATACAGAAAAAAGCACAAGAGGTGGAAGCGGGAAGTACCGTAGTTGTTTGCACATGTGATTCTCTTGGACATGTGATCGTTTGGGCAGGTTGGACTGCACTCAAACAGAAAATTTCTTATTAATTAAAGATGTCAAAGAGAAAATATTTAAAGTTGTGTGTGCATCCACACATGAACACACAAAACACCAGATGAATATAATAATATATGTATGTTAAAAAGTTCAAGCCATACTCACTTCCCCAATAAGAGCTGAACGTGGGGTTTTTGAGGCTGGAGAAAAAAACAAAATAGACCACCATACAGTATGATCAACAAAGAAAAACTAGAAATGACATAAAAGAGAGCAATCAGTCACTGAAAAAGTATCTTGCATTGACAGTATTTGCATCACTCGCTCAAGAGCATGATCAGAAACTACATAATAAATATGAAATGCGGCAGGTTACAAATGTTGCAAAATACATGTAATTTCAGGGATCATAATATTGAGCATGATCAGAAACTTCATAATAAATATGAAATGCGGCAGGTTACATATGTTGCAAAATACATGTAATTTCAGGGATCATAATATTAACTAAGTCAAAATCAGTTACAGAACAGCACCACAATCAGAAGTATTAGATTTTCAGTGTCTTGCAAAGCAAACAGAAAACTAGGCACTGACACAATAACAGTGGACAGTTGAGTCCATTTGCTATGAACAAACAACGAAGTAAAAAACATGAATCTGAAGACAAGGAGCATAACAAGAAGGGACTGTGGGAAAAAATGAGCTTAGTCACAAAACGTAAATCTTGAGAAAATCAATTTCAAAAGCTTATAGTCATAGACTAATGACTTCATTTGTTTCGCTGCTGGCTCATCAAAAAAGAAAGTACAAGAGTCTACAACCTCTTAAAATTGATATCTTCACCAGTTCCATTTGAAGACAACAACCATTTTTCTTGTGGACTCCATAATATGTAAAAGTGCGATAAAATCCAACAAAAACAGTACTGAGAACAGACTTGTTGAATAGTTCTTTAAATAATAAGCATCCCTAAAATCAAAGGTCAAATTTATAGGGCCTAGGGAGACAAAGTCCAATCCTCCATCCACACCAAGGGAGATGGAAACAGGACAAAGTAGGGGATTGCTGGGTTTGGGAGAAGTACAGTGAGGCTTTATGCCACGGAGGCGCTAAGCTAGCCGTGAAGGTCAACCCAGGTCACCCCGAAACTTCTAAAAACCAAAGAAAGGAGGAAAACAAACGGACAAAGAGCATATACTAAATACAGATGAAAAGGAATTACAAAAACACACCACTAAACTAAATGAGGAATGTAAACACCTAAACATGAAAATCGCCATCTCAAAAACAGAAGTTATGAAGGTCAGCAGAGACTCAGGGAAACTCAACATCCTTATTGACGGAACACAACACCAACAAGTAGAGGAATTTAAATATTTGGGAAGCATCTTCACACAGGATGGGCGTATGCATATTGCCACATGGACAAATAAACAGAAACAAGACCTATGAAGGCAAATACAGTGACCCATCAGCTAGCACCCCTGCTCAGTCACAAGAACATCCCAACCGAAGTGAAATCCCAACATTAACATACCAGTGCCAAACATGGTCTCTAAACACAGCAAAGAAAGAAAAGTCAATGCATGCGAAATGAAGGATCTCCCCAAAACCATCAACATCACAAGAGGAGACAGCATAAGTAACGAAACCAGTAATAACATTCATAGAGCGTCAAAGAGTCAAATGGTTTGGACATCTAACCAGAATGCCCCAGAAACAACTGGTGACTAGAGCTTGCAACACCCGAGAATCCGACTTCAAATCAAGAGGAAGACCAAGAAAGAACTGGCTGGATGGGGTTAAAAAGGATATAATCACAGACACCACACACCTAACACAGGACGCAAACCTGCACCTCCCCTTGACATCCTAAAGACACCACAGGAAGGAAAAAGGAAAAGGAAAATAAGGGAGACAAAACAATAGGACAATACTCACATATTTACTTTGATCTCATGGAAATTGTAAATATATAATAACTTGTAATTATTAGAGTGGCAAAGACTATAATTCTATTTCCAGGCTAAATTCTTTTCATTAGTTTAAGGACACTATGCAGGAAACTTTCTTAATAACAAACAGATATCATGCTCACCAAAAATTCCTTTGCAAAACTACTAATCCTGTCTGTTGTGAACTTGCAATCCTCTAATACTGAGCTGAAATAGAACAAATAGGGGCCTACTTATTATCAATAGTAATAACTTTTCTTACTGTCTCTCTCCTACTGTTGCCCTGTAGAATAGGTCTCTCCCTTTTTACTGCATGATATGAAATAATGCCATATATTCATAATGTCATCAAGCTTATATATAAATATATATATATATATATATATATATATATACATATATTGCGGACAGGTGGCATTGACGGACTTCCAACCTTAAAAAGAGAAGAAGAACGCCATAAAACTTCTCCCGCAACTCAAACCAGTGAACTTGCTAATACATACCTATTATAGAAAAATTGTAGAAATTCATGTTATAACTGTACATGTCTCAATAACTCATATTTTTGTTCAGTGGTATCTGCTGTACACATTATTTTGTCTGTATGCTAGTCTCAAAACATTACCATCAAAGACAAAGAAAAAAATTCCCATTTATATATATATATATAAATATATATATATATTATATAAAGACAGTTGCTCATAAGTCCTTTTAAAAAATCTTACCTTGATTAAACCTTACCATTATTAAAGTAAAGGCACAATCAACAACAAGCACGTAGAGCCTTCCATTTTTTTCCCCATCAAGCGTTTGCCCTCTTAACTCTTGATCTCCCTCTTAACTCTTTATCTCCAGAGGGGACTTTTCTATTATACAAAGTCCCCATAAATTGTATGAAACCTGAGGCGAGTGACTTACATGTCCCTAAATTAGTCATTAAATCAAACCAAATGTACCTATTTTGATAGATCTTCATCTAATGAAGGAACTTCCGCTAAGAAGGACCTTTTTAGGAAAATGCTGAAAATAAATATGTTGTCATCATCATCATAAAGGAATTGGACCAAGTCGCTGATAAAAGATCACCAGCATAGCAATTCCAATCACAAACCACTGGACACAGTTTACTGGATAAGGAGTTGAAAAGAAAAAATATGTTCTTCTTACCAACTCTACAGCCATCATTTTATTCAATGTAACGTTAATACAACTGGTAATATGTGTTACGATATGGTGAAATCAGGCGCTTGTCAAAATAACAGAATCGTAGAAACAGGCATTTTTCCGCCAGTTTGTTGGAAGTTTTTTAAGCAAATTTTTATTTTTTGGCTTAATCTCTTGTATGTCCATATAAAAAACACGTTTCCATGTGAATTTTACAGAAAAACATTGATAAAAGGCACAAAATGTGTCATTTTTCAGTTTTCAAAGACTATTTAATATAGCTATTGGAGTCACCAAAGTTTGGTGACCATTTTCTCACTAATTTCAACACTGAAAAATGGCGACCTCACCTCCTTCAATCGCAAATATGTTGAGTTCAATTCAAGATAAATGAATGTTTATTTCATTGGAAGCAAGGCAAATAAATCAGCTTTCAGAGGATACCAATAACTTAACATGCCAAAAAATTGACCCACGCAAGATTCCACCGCCTCATGACTCATATTATATTACTGGCTTGAGAGACAAAGAGTACAAGTAAAGCTCTTGTCAACTAAAAAAAGTATTTTTATTAAATGTAGCGTACTTACCTAATATTCTGCTCTGAACTGTCATGTTTGGCAGCTTCTAGAATAAGTGTAACAAGACCACTGTACGCTTCTTTCAAAATAGCTTTGTCAGTATCTTTGAAAGCAGGATTCTCTGAGGAAACCAAGTTTGTAAAATAAATGTCTTACAAGTTCAGAATGATCAGAACGTCTTGTCACAATTTTTTTTTTTAGAATATTATATAGGCCTATATTTAAATCAACATTTTTACAAAATTCATTATTTTGACTCTCAGTCTCATTTGGATAATATGAACAGTTTAACAAAAAACCGCAACATATTCATTTTCCCGTTTTTGAGACAAATGATATAAAAATGATATAGGCCTATAAAATAATATATTATCTGCTTTTCACCCATTTACCGAAATAGTCTTAAGCAACTTTGGTTTTAGAGTGAACATGATGTAACGCTTTCACTAATTTTGATAAAATCAATGTTGGATTTCTATCTTTTAAATTGATGAGGTCCCCACACATTTTGGATAAAACTCGACATATCCACAACTAATACTAAGGACGGGAAAGAACCGCCAACAATTATTAACTTTCGTCATCCACAATCAAAGTCAGGTGCAGTGGCGGTGGGTAGTGAAGGGCTCATGGGCTTGAGCCCCCCTCCCCACCCCCAAGTCTATCCCAAGGCAAATGAAAATAACGAAAAAAGCAGTTGAAACTGTTCTGATCGACCGCAACGAACACATAGTGATCAACTAGGCGGCTTGCTCGTTTATCCAATCACTGTTGTTCCCGCTTACAACTATAGTAACCTAACAGCCAATCAAATGTCTTTAGGGCTCAGCAATCAACCAGCCCGTTCCCACGGTCTCTCCTTAATGAAACCCCTCTTGTAAAAAAGTAGAAGACTGGGAAAAAATAACACTGCTCAGAGGGCTCACGCTCTCCCAGCCCTGACAATGGGGTGAAAGTTTACGACACACTTTCCCCCAGTGACACAGTTACCTATGCGCCCATTGGGCCTTTGTTAGGTGTGTTCTATTTTCTGCAACAACACGACCTAATCCACCTCATACACGGTGTGTGTTTGGAGTGCTGTGTGTTTGAGCCACTGAGATTTAACAATAATCAAATAAAAACTAATTAGAGAAATTTGGAGGTGAAACGGCTTCGTCCCCACCATCCAGAAGAATTTAACGTAGAACAAAGAGATGGCAGACAAAGGTGACTTCTCATTTGAACGGTTCTCAAAATGCCGTGGCTCGCCGTGAGTATAGAAAAATCATCACTGTGTTGTTCTTATTGCTTGCTTTTTGGTGGTAAAGAAGTGGAAGAAACCTAAGCCCCACCCAAATCTAGGTTTACCCACCGTCACTGGTCAGGTGACTTGAAGAGAAAACTTGATGGGTGCGCAGAGGACAAGTTGCGATTTGTCAAAAAAAAGGGCCACCGCTTTTAAAGGGTTAAATTTTCTGCAAGAAAAATCTTTTTGTGAAAAAAATGTGGTCTCTGGAAGCCACCTCACTTTTCTAGTACGACAGTAGGCCTACAAATTTCGCCCAAACTTCCAAATTGGCTTTTGTCTCATTTTGTTGTGAAACTATTCACATCTATAGATCTAGTAATGATCTATAGTACAAGTAAGTAATGATACCCACTACTTTCAATACTAATTTATATTATCTCCGCTTTTTGGCAATTGTTAAGATTCCTCCTGAAACCCCCCTTGCCTTGCATTGTTAAATACTTGTAAATGAAATTTTACTGCTCATTTTGTAGGCTAGATCAAAGATAGTACATAACAAGATGGGCCACTCAGCCAAAAAAGTGTCCGCCGGAAGTTCGCTCTTTGCTTCAGATGGTGCTGCAGTCTGTTTTGAAGCTCTTTTTCATTTCTCCAGAAGAAGAATAGGAATAGCACCTCCTTGCGAGCGCAGATCGACTGCTGTTCATCAGCAGTTCAGGTTCGTTCAGTGTGGAGTTCTAGTTTTTTTTAATTTTAATGACCTCTCGCCTTTCATTCTAAAGTCAAATTAAACTAAGAAAACAATCACCCTTTCCTCCGGAAGAGGTTTTTTGTCAGCGTAACCATTTTTAAAAAGCGTTCTTCCGACAAAAACTTGCTAGTTTCACTTTCATTTTTTAAACTCAAATAGGGTAACTCTGTTCGCAAACGGTGCGCTTTTGCGAAGAGGGCGCCACCGAATTTTGAGGACACTTTTTTAATTGGCTCAAAGAGAGAAGTGGCCCCTCTTGTTATGTAGACTCTTTGGCTAGATCTACTGTGATAACACATCTATACTGAATATTTAAATCAGTATCGATATCGGTATTTTTTTACTTTCCCTCCCGTCTCACACTCAGCTACCAGTTGTCTATTTTCTACTAAATATTGATGCGCAGAACACGAATATCAACTTC